TAGAACGGGTGCTAACATGCGATCGCTGGTCATGGATCTGGTGTACCAGAAGTCCCTACGTCTATCGTGTGTGGCGCGTCAACAGTATTCAACAGGCGAGGTGTTGACACTCATGAGTGTTGATACCGAACGTGTATTCACTGTGATGATGGAGAGTCCGTGGCTTGTGGTCGGACCCGTGAGTTTCATCATTTCCGTTGTACTCGTCGGGTTTCTCTTCGACTTTTACTCTGCAGCGGGTGGAGCTATCGCTTTGATCGTTATCAGCATTATATCGGTGCAGTTGGGCAATACCATTGCACGGATTCAGCACGATCTTCTGACTGTGATCGACGAACGTGTGAAAGTCACGTCCGAGTCGTTGCAAGGGATTCGTGTCATGAAGTTTTACGCTTGGGAAGAATCGCTCGCACTCCGCGTCGAGAAGATTCGCGCCAAGGAGATTACGCTGCTGCGCAAGTTCCACCGGTACCAAGTCGTCAACACAGTAATGCTCTTCCTCACTCCGGCGTTCCTGTCTGGAGTTACACTTGGAATCTGCGTGGCTGTCAATGACACCATCTCGGTTATCGATGCCTTCACTCTCATCGCCATGGTCAACATCTGCCGAACTGCGTTGATCCAGCTCCCTGTCGCCATTTCCGCGTTCTCGCAGGCTCGGATTGCGTTCGCTCGAATCGATCTGTACCTTTCCAGCGACGAGTACGGCCAAGTGCAATTGGAGAATGGCGCAGCCAACGTTTCTGTGACTTCTGCTGCTGCTGTCGGTAGTATATCCGTTCGTGACGCTGACTTCGAGTGGCCATTGCCCAGCAACACGCCTGGTGTCGTGGTGGTCACACCTGCTCTTGACGGAGATGAAATATCGACTCATACGCTGCGAGAAGCTTCCGAGATTCGATACGAAATGGACTACAACAGTCTCCCCTCCAGTCCGAGTACTTTAAGTATGAGAGCGTCGATATCTGGTGTCGGAGCTGATACAAGGGACAGAGAGCAGCAGAGCTTTCGGCTCGAAGGTGTGAATCTGGAAATCGACCCTGGCTCACTCGTGATGATCATCGGTACTGTGGGTGCTGGCAAATCGAGTTTACTGAATGCTCTACTTGGTGAGATGACGTTGAAACGCGGAAGTTTGGATCTCAGGGGTGACGTGTCCTACGTTAGTCAGGAAACTTGGATCCGTAACCTGGACGTGCGTGACAACATCCTGTTTGGAGAGCCGTTCGATGCTGAGCGATATGAGACCGTACTAGAAGCGTCAGAACTTGCCATGGATCTTCACGCTCTGCCATACGGGGATCGTACCGAGATCGGTGAGCGCGGTATCAATTTGAGTGGCGGACAGAAGGCTCGTGTGGCCATCGCACGCGCAATGTACCGGTCGAACTACGATATATTACTGCTGGATGATCCACTGAGTGCTGTGGACCCTCACGTAGCGCACGGCATCTTTGACAAGTGCATCATGGGTCTGGCCGAGTCAAAGACTCGCGTCTTGGTGTTGAACAGCCACTATGATCTGCTCAATCGTGCTGACAAGGTGCTGGTGATACGTGACGGTGTCATTGCTGGTGACGGTACGTTCAAAGAGGTGGTGGCGATGTTCCCCGAGCTGGACATGCATGATGCCACTGGACGTTCTATCGAGACTACACAGCATTGTGACGATGATGCAATGCTAGACAAACGTGAACCAGAGAAGATCTCTGCATCAGCGATTCGAGCCAAGCTAGAGGAGGACGGCGATGACAACCGGCAGCTTATCCAAGAGGAGGACCGCATCAAGGGCACCGTGACCGGCGATGTATACAAGACGTACTTCGACGAGTCAGGAATGAATGGCCTCGTGGTTATCTTCCTCATCGTCGTGTTCTACACTGTGAGCCAGGCTGTGCGCGTGGTCGTCGACTGGTGGCCGAGTCACTGGGCCAAGAATATGCCTCGTCGTGACGTTGACCCAACCTACTCCGGGGAGGACTTCGCGCTGTGGTATGTGGCTCTGATCGTGTTGGCCACGGTGTTAACCCTCGGTCGGGCCTTGTATTTGACGGAGACGTGTGTACGCACGTCAAAGAACTTGCACAACGAGCTGTTCCGCCGGGTGCTGAGCGCTCCAGTGAATCGCTCCTTCGACGTTACGCCCGTAGGTCGCGTACTCAACCGCTTCTCCAATGATCTTGATCAGGTCGACTCGGTACTACCAAAAGATTACCAGATTGTGGCGCAGCACGCGTCGATGGCACTGGGATCATTTGTCGTCTCTGCTTTCGTGAGTTACTGGATCGCGGTTGCATACATCCCTATCGTCGTCGTATTCATAGTCACGGCCCGATATTTCAAGAAGACAAGCTGCGAGGTCAAGCGGCTCGAAGGAGTCACCCGTACACCGGTCTACAACCTCTTCAGTGAGACGCTATCCGGGCTGCAGACTATCCGAGCTTTCAAGATGCGAGACACGTTTGAACGCCTGAACAAGAAGGTGGTGGATGAAAACGCTAGCATGTACATCACGTACTGGTCGGCAGGTCGATGGTTAGCGGCACGGCTTGACATGCTGTCGGTGGTTATTATCGTCATTGTCACGGCATATCTCGTGTCGACGAATGGCGAGCTGAGCGCAATGACCGCGGGTCTCTCGCTCACATACTCGTTGATGTTGACAGCTGTGGTGCAATGGGTCACACGGTCTGCTGACCAGGTTGACAGCGCCATGACGAGTGTGGAGCGACTGCTGCATTTCCGAAATATTCCACATGAAGAAGACGCACCCGACTGCACTCCGATCAACAGCGCTGTGTGGCCTTCGCAAGGTGCCATCAAGTTTGACAGCCTGTGCCTCAAGTACCGGCCGGAGCTGCCACTGGTGTTGCGTGGAGTGAGTATGGACATTCGTGGAGGGGAGAAGGTCGGAATCTGCGGACGCACGGGAGCTGGTAAGAGTTCACTCATGATCGCGCTGTTCCGCATCTGCGAGTTCGATAGCGGTAGCGTGGTTATCGACGGGCTGGACATCTCGAAGCTCAAGCTGCACGACCTGCGACGCAGCCTCGCCATCATCCCGCAAGATCCCGTTCTGTTCAGTGGACCATTACGAGAGAACTTGGACCCGTTCGGCGAGTACACGGATGCTGAGATCTGGACCGTGTTGCAGCAGGTTCACATGGCTGACAGTCTGGCCAAGTGGGGTGCGGGGCTCGATTTTGAGGTGTCTGAGTGTGGTGATAACCTGTCGGTGGGGCAGCGTCAACTCGTGTGTATCGGTCGTGCTCTTCTTAAGAACAGCAAGATCGTCGTACTGGATGAGGCTACCGCCAACGTGGACACGGCCACCGACGCGCTCATCCAAGCCACCATCCGGCAGACGTTCGCCGACAAGACCGTGCTGATCATTGCGCACCGCATCAATACGATCATGCACTGCAACAAGATCGCGGTCATGGACG